ATTCAGTGTTACAATCGGTATATATATATATATATATATATATATATATATATATATATATATATATATATATAGATTAGACTGTATATATATATATATATATATATATATATATATATATATATATATATATATATATATATATATATATATATATATACAGTCTAACAGAGAAAAATATCTTCACAAAAACATGACTCCATTTGTTTTCCTATATATATATATATATATAAAATATATATATATATATATATATATATATATATATGGGGTCGGTGGTGCTATAAAAGATGCTGATAAACGTTGAATTTAGATTTACGAAGATTGCAGGTATAAAAGAAATATCTTCACATATCCTATTAAGAATTTCAACACTTTTTAAAGAAAATGTGGAGTTCATCTATCATTCAGCGTTACCCAGTAGGTATTCCTTCTTATTTGGATACATTTCTAAATGTCATTCCCCTGAAGAATATAGGTGATCAAGGCTCTTCAAGCTTATTTTTCTTTAATGTCTATAAACTTTTAATTATCATAATTGTTTCCGTTTGGCATTTCCATGATTATAAATTTAGAATGGTGGTTCTCGAAGTGGCAGCGTAGTCTGTAGTGTCCAATTTGTTCTGGTTTTGAGCACATTGCTCTTGAAGAAACAAATGGAGTCATGCCTTTTGCAAAAATATTTTTCTTCTGTTAGACACCGTGACGCTACAGGATGTGGGCGTTCTTGTCTTTTGTAGCTCCAGGCAACGTTTGTCTCCTTTCTCGTCCCTGTTCTTTAATTTGCTTAATCAGTTTTTGCCTTCTGTCTATCATTTGAGTGAAAAAAAAGTCTAAAAACATTCTTTTCTCAATATGCTTTCCGGAAATATCAACTCTTTCAGATTTTAAGTCAGAATTTTTTTAGATTACATGCTCCTTAAAATCTTCAGTCTGAAAAATCAACTTGTCAGCAAAAGCACTCCCAACACCCTTCTGCAGAACTACGTCGCAGGGGCTCAGTTCTTCTTTTCAGCTGTGTTCAGCATTCAGTGCCATATAGGAGGAGAGATATGACATATGATAATTTCGTTTGAATTTCAGAGATGAGGAATTATCATTATTTACATTAATTATATTCGAACTGGAGGCACGATGAAGTAAAGGATAGCGGCTTGGAATGAGGAATCGGAGATCTAAGTTCAAATTCTAGTCGAATCCATTACATTCACTTACGTGCTAATTGGGAAAAGTTATGAATCCTCTTCTCCACCCCAGCTATGAGTAAATAGCAGGATAGATCGGGTTCTATAACCTTGGATGGCAATTCTTCTAACACAGAAAGAAATGGCAACCTACTGCGGGAAATAATCTACCTCGTCAGTCATATATCGAAAGATACATGATCGACAAACTGTATATCACACATGGCACATAGCTGACTAATATTCGGACTATTGTCTTCATCTTTGCTGTTATCATTTCGGCCGTTTTGCTCTCCGGCCTTTCTCGGGTGTATATCGATCTGGGTAACCTACAGGCTATTTTGAACTGAAACCCTTAGTTAATCTCCGTGAGTAGACTGTTCTCGTTCCGCTGCTCATGCCTTGACATATTGTCTATTTCTTATCTTATTTTGTACATTTCAGTTATAGCTCAGCTGTTTCCACTGAGTGCAAGCACCTACTGCATGGCCTAGGGACTGACAACGCAAACAATATATCAAAACAAATATAAATAGTGTAAATATAACGTAGAAGTTCCTTATTATTTTTTATTTTTTGTTTCTAACAAAATATTCCTATTTCTTCATTGTTTAGGTTCTGTTTTGTTTATGTAAAGGCATATCAACACAAGATGGGTCATTTATTTCTGAAATTTATTTTTCTTGGGGGCAATAGTAATTATTTCATTGTATTGATGGTAATTGTTCACTCATTACAAAAATGTACTGCTGGTATTTTTTTTCTTAGAAAAATGCATTGCTGGTAATTTTCTTTCCTTACAAAAACGTATTGCTGGCAATATTTTTCCTCACAAAAATGTATTGCTGGTAATTTCTTTCCTTACAAACATGTATTGCTGGTAATTTTCTTTCCTTACAAAAATGTACTGCTGGTAATTTCTTTCCTTACAAAAATCTATTGCTGATAATTTTCTTTCCTTACAAGAATGTATTGCTGGTAATTTTTTCCTTACAAAAAATGTATTGCTGGTAATTTTTTTCCCTTACAAAAATGTATTACTGGTAATATTGTTTTTTTCTTGAGATATATATATATATATATATATATATATATATATATATATATATATATATATATATATATATATATATATATTACTATGAAAATGTATTGCTAGCACCTTCACTATAACAATGTATTTTTATACTTTCATTGAGTCTTTCCCTAGTTTGGGTGTTTACTATTTGTCCATAACAAGTGCTACCATCCGGGATCGAGGTGGATCTGGAAACAAAAGCAAGTTCCACGCTCATCAAAACCACCCGATCAGAGGCCTTGCTATTGGATATCATTTTTCGTCATAAGCAGGAAAGATTAACAACTTAGAGTCTCGGAGCTCAACAGGTGCTACTAACACAGGACAGGGTGGAGCTGGGAACAACAACAATTAATTGGTGGTTCCATGCTACTCAAAACCTGCAATTTCCTGATCAGCGGCCTTGCTGCCGGATGTAGTTTATCGTCATACCCAGGACGATTTTATATTTTGGTAGATATATTTCGCTACTGCAGTTTGTCTTCGGATTTCTGCAACTCTGTTACGTTATTTTATCTATAGTATTCCTATTAAACCCTCTGCAGAACCACGCCGCTATTTTCTCAAATCTTCTCTTCATCAGTGTCCAGCATTGACTGTAATACAAGATGGATATGTCGTAGAATTTCGGAGCTCTTTTTTCTTTGTTTCTAGCGAAAAGTTCTTATCTTTTATTGTCTAGATTCAGGAAGCCATTTTCGCTGTTCCAATTTGCCTTCGGATTTATGTGACGCTGTTACGATTCGACAAAGTTAGTTAAACATCTTGCATTTTCTCATTTTCTGTCTACCACAGAGTGTAACGTCTTACAACACCTTAGTGTAGGCACATCCATGAAAACGCTAAAAATCAGCATACTGTAAAGAAAACATCTTCCAAACGTAATGAAAACGTAGTTTTATCGTCAAAATCATTATTATTATTATTAAGAGGAATTATTTTTTGATTATTTAATTAAATGTTTTACTCCTTTTTAGAACATTGGAAATTTTAATGAAAAACACTTGTTTTTCTTGCGTCAGCGGTTGTACTAACTTTTAGCATAGCAAATTTTCGCCTTCTTTTTGCAGTGACAGACACATTCATTTAGAAATTCTTGCAAAAGTCAAATAATTGTCAGATTTAATGAAATATTCTAAACTTATTCGCAAATGAATGAAATTTTATTTGAGTGTTTTTTACTAGAAAATATTGGTAAAATATTTTTTTTATTTTACATGAGTTCCTCCACATTACTTAATTTTATGAAAGCTTGAGAAATTCATCAAAATAATTTTTATTGACTATATTAGTTAAAAGCAGAATTTTTGAAGAATTTAAATCACCCTTTTTTTGCAAAATGGGACCGAGTCTTATCAAAAATCTGTTCTGAATCGTAAAAAAACCCCAATAAAACTAAGACATTATTTAATGAAAGAAGCTTTTAATTGCGTTTATGATTAATATATATTAAAGGCAATATTGTCTGAAGAAAAAAAATTCGATGGAAAATTAATTTTTGCAAGATTTGTTTTCATTTTTACAATTGAAAAGTGAATAATTTATAAAGTTTTTGAATCTTTTAAAGTCAACTTCGATGAGATAATTCTTAGGGAATATTGTTATTAATTAAAAAAAAAGTTACTAATCATATATTTTAAAGCTTATTAAAATCTGAAGACCCCCCACCCCGTCTATTTTAATTTAAACGTGCTACCAGCTTGGCATCTCGTTCTCATCGTTTCAACCTCAAAACAGATAAATGAAACCGTCTGTTCTGCTCAAACAGCTTATTCTCCCGGACTTCTCGTCTGTGGAACTCCCTTCTCCTTACTTGCTTCCTAGACGACTATAATCTTCAAATATTCAAGTGTAATGTCAATCGACATCTGACACCCTAAGCTTGTTCCTCGTCCTCTTCTGTGTCCTTTCCTTAAACGCGCCTCTTTGCTTTTGTTCTCAATCCTCTGTAACCCCTTGCTTGCTAGTGGCACTCCCGCATTGCTTGTAGTGATTTTCCTTAAAATATATATATATAGATAGATGCAGAATGTCTGCAGTATAGATGTACAAACCGATAAATCTATTCTTAAAAGGTCACGTGTATTAAGGATTGTCGCCTTTGCAGAAAGAAAAGGAAATTCTAATGAAATGTCCTGTCTGATGCACCATACATGAACATATTCGGTGGTCAATCGGCTATCAATAAATCGATTAACACGTCAGGAAAACAAGATCCCGCAATTAGGACATGATTATATAAAACATTTGATGCGATAAGTAAGTAATATTTTGTTTTAAATCAGATTAACATAACTTTAAATTTGCTCATTTCCCTGAATCAACGTTTCAGAAATATATTTTATTTTTCAACATTTTTAAAACGGAAAATTACGTTTTGTTTACAAATGTCTAAAATATAGCTGACGTTAGCGATTTTACTGAAAAAAAGTTCAGAGTCTATTCCAATCAATATAATTTCAGTCTGAAATACACCTTTATTCGCGGTTCTAATACATTTAATCTGTTAGCTTTCATTTAAAGCTAAATTGAAACCAGCATGGAAGCTTATTTTATTTTTAAAAATTGGTTTTAAACCTTACGTATAACCAATTCATAGAGGTACCTAGATTATTGTTAAGTAGGAATAAACAGATCGTATTCGAACTTGGAATGCCGGTTTTATTTTTGTTGTGCTGTTCATAGTTTTTCTAATGCATGTCCATGCACATATTTATTTTTTTTACCTATGCCAAAACAGCGAATAATGTTTTGCGGAAAGGATGATTGAAGAAATGGTAACGCATCAGAAGTTGAGAAAGAACGCAAGAGAACGACACTCGTAAATAGAGATTATTAACTGCAATGCGCTTTTCACAAGAAGCGGACCGAGACGATTGAACTGAAATAAGAAAAAAAAGAAAGACAGTAATCGGGAAGACAGAACTAACGTGCTGCTAAGAAAAAAAAAAAAAAAAAAGAAAAAAAAGGAGGCTGTAGAGGCAGCGATAATAATCGAATTAGTCAAATCAATCAATCGGTTTGCAAATTTGATTAGCTGATTATTCTAATTAATTACCTTTCGGCAAACGCATATATATATATATATATATATATATATATATATATGTGTGTGTGTGTGTGTGTGTCTGTGTGTCTGTGTGTGTGTGTTTCCGTGTGCACGCGCTCTCGTTTGTGTGTGTGTGTGTGCATCGATGTTTGTGATCGTTTACTTGTGTGTGCGAATAAATGCGCCCATAGTTACATATGTGTATGCATCTGTAATGTAAAAATAACCGCGTGCTTTTTTAAGTAAATAATTGACTCTCTAAAAACTCTCCCTTCCTTATACGCACACGTCAACATGCACGCACACACACGCACACGCACACACACACACAGATAGATAGATAGATAGATAGATAGATAGATAGATAGATAGATAGATGTGTGACATATTTTCTTTTCTGGAATGACGATTTGAATGTAAAATCTCTTTTGGATACGTTCACCTTCACTGTATTCCGCATGTGAATGTATGCATTTCGTGAGACAATGCTACCATTGTTGCAAACATTATTGATAGTTGCAAGTAAGAATAATATTTTATTTCATATCACTATAGAATAAGCACTGCATATATTCTATTTGAAAATTTCTTGCACTGCACACACACACACACACACACATATATATATATATATATATATATAATGGACTCTCCTCGGTTTCGACGTATGAGGATCTGACAGCTTATTGATTCAGTTATGAAAGTTTATGCGATAATCTTAAGTGGCATTTAAGGGCCGCTAGTGATTTACAAAGGAGGCCAGATATGAAGCAAGAGTGAGGATTGTTAGATGAGATCACTGTTACATTGGCTGACCTTTTAGTTCTTGCTCTCGTTTCTTGAAGATGATTCAGACAAGCAGATTGAAAATTGCTGAGTCCATCTTCATTAACGATCTTCCTGATGTCATCAGTTCTCAAGTAGGAATCTATGCAGACGACATCACTATTTACTCCTGCCTAGATGAAAAAAATCTATTATACTACTTGTCTTAATGAGGTCATGGAGGCATGGTGGAGTAATGGTGGCTCGGATTGAAAAATCGAAGATCCGAGTTCGAATTCCTGTCAGATTCATTACATTAACTTAGGTGATAATACCCTTGGGAATGGCATGAATCCTCTTCTCCCTCCAGCTATGGGTAAACGGCGGGACAGATCGGGTTCTATAGCATTGGATGGCAACTAGTCTATTGGAGAAAGAAATGGGAACCACTGCGAAAAAAAGTCTTGTATCGAAAGATACATGATCGCTTAAACGTTTATCACGCATGGCACATAACTGATTGAATAGAGTCACGTGTTGCTAGATGACGTAATAGCCAATGATCCCATTTCGATGTAGATGGTCTACTTCTGGATTGGATTTCTTAGCCAGGAACTCCAGATCTTGTAACGCACTATACGGAGGAGTATTGAAAAATTCTGTTATCCACTTCACCAGCCAAAGTGCGGATCTCATCCTTGGAATAGATACTCGTAAAACTTACAGCAATTCCAAATAATACTTTGTATCTGTTTTTTGAATGTTTGTCTTGTCGCATCTTGCGACTTCGTGCATATTTATCGTACTCGCTTCAAACAACTGTAATACTCAAAATCACTCGGTTTCCTTGTAACATGTCGTCGTCGTCGGCGGCGGCGGCGGCGGTGGCATCCATCCAAGAGAGATGGAGTAGCGCGGTGCGTTACGAGCCTGGGCGGGATATATGGAGAACTAGGGCTGCCCAATACAGTTTGGTACAAGCGCGGCTGCAGGAGTTGCCGGAAGGTAGCACAAAATGCCGTCCATCCGCCTTAGGGGCTCCACTCCGGGCTTGGATTCAGAGTTGTCCTTCTCCTAGACCAGTTACCATCCAGGGCTATAGAACCCAGTCTGTCCTGCTATTTATCCATGGCTGGAGGGAAAAGAAGGGGATCCACACCTTTCCCAAGGGTATTAGCATGTAAGTGAATGTAATTGATTCAACTGGAATTCGAACTCTGCTCTCGGATTCCTCAATCCAAGCCGCTATCCATTACTCCACCGTGCCTCCTCCGTAGACCAATTTTAATGCGGTAACGAACTCTTTCCCCAAATCTAATGTTAACCCGCTGCTCCAGATTTCTTTCACACATTTTCTGCCAAAAGTATAACATGAACACGTACAACTTCCTCTACTGCTCAACAACGAACACCTCATCTAATGTGCGTCTCAAGAAAGATGGAGATACGGAACACCTCTTTTATATATAATATGGATTCTCCTTTCTAGTTTGACGTATGAAGGACCAACAGTTCAGTTTAGAAATAAATCGCTACATTAAACACACAGCTGATTAAATTATGGAAGTAAAGGCTTATGTAGAATCACCCAACTTTTCGAAATATTTGATAGCTGCCACGAAATTGTCATACGCTTGAATTTGCTTTTTTTTTTAATTCAGTTACACTTTAAACTTAGCGTTTTGCTTCTATTAGACTTTAAATTTATCTTCATTAACGATCTTCCTGATGTCATCAGTTCCCAAGTAGGCATCTATGCAGACGACGCCACTATTTACTCCTGCCTCAAAAGCTAATCTGGTATCGCTGACAAAACTAACCTGACCGTTGATCTCGAAAAGGACCCCGAATCTGTTGCTGACTGGGGCAGGAAATGGATAGTTAACTTTAATGCCTCAAAAACCAAACTGCTCTCTATCACCCACCACAGAGAACCCCCCGTGCTTCCCATATTAGAATGTCTTATGCTCAATTCCACGAGAGCATCTCTTTGCGGCTGATTGATCTCACACTGTCCGCAGACCTGAGATGCAACAAATACATTGAATCAATAGCTTCATCTATCGCAGGGAAATGTGGTTCTCTGTGTCGCGCCAGAAAGTTCTCCTCGCCTGGATCCATCCTTCAAATCTGAATCAATCATTCGCACGTGCATGGAATATTGCTGTCATATATGGTTTGAAGCGCCCGCTGTTCGTCTGAGAATCCTCGACAAAATCCACAGACGTGTTGACAACCCTCTCTGTCTTTTCTACAAATACTTTCACGGTAAGTGCTCCGAGTAGCTATTTTCGCTAGTTCCCAAACAGCATCAATTTAAACGTGACACTATGTCCTTAGCCTTTTGCTTCTAATATATATATATATATATATTCATCAGTCCGAGAGTTGAATTCACTTTTATATATATATATATATATATATATATATATATATATATATATATATATATATATATCACTGAGAGCTTGAAAACAAAAAAAGTAAAAATCCGAAGGACTCGTGTCATAGCTGCCGACCTCAAATATAGATGGAGTACAACCGAAATGCGTCAAAGTCACAAAAGCTTTATGTGACATTGCAACATCTAAAAATGACAAAATTAAAACTGATGATCTTTGCCACTATTCTTCTGATGTTTGCTTCACACGCAGAGACACACACACACACATATATATATATATATATATATATATATATATATATATATATATATATATATATATATATATATGAGCGGAGAAAAGGATAAGCAGCCCCCACAAAGTATGCCTAACATTGCACACGGGCAAAAGGAGTGAGCTTAACGTCATAAAATATATATATATATATATATATATATATATATATATATATATATATATATATATATATATATATATATATATATATATATATACTACTATGAACCCAAAAACTAGGTTCTTTAGGTTCATAGTTACATTTGCTCTATTTAGTATATTGGGTACTTTTACTTAGTTACTTTTGCTTTTACTCGTTTCGGAGGTGTTTTCTTTGGACTTGAATTCTGTACGATTGTTTTCACCTCAATTTCATGTTCTTAGTTCTTTCTTTTTTTCATTTATCAATTTTCCTTTGGTATTGGTTTGTTCAATTACAAGCCACAATACCTAAGGTTTTTCCAAACGAGTATAACTATTTATATTCATATTATTTATATATATATATATATATATATATATATATATATATATATATATATATTATTAAAGTTATTTTTAGCACGTACACCTGTTTGAGTTGCTATCACTGTTTTTATTTTTTTATTCATTTAAATGTGAATTTAATAGCAATCAACCAAATTGAGAAGTCCTACTAAATAAAATTTGTGCCTCTGGCCGGAATCGAACTTGCATTCCCTCATCGTAACCACGTTTTGTGCCATAGCATCTCTCGCTGTTTTGTTTATTAAAGTAAAAAACAAAAAAAAAAAAAAAAAAACAGGAATAGCAATTCAAAACAATGTACCTACTAAAATTAATGTTAACAGTATTAAGAAATAAAGTCGGATAAAATACTTTCAATATATATATATATATATATATATATATATATATATATATATCCACATAGAAACCTGTTTCGCTATATCACAGCTCATCAGTGCGGACAGATATCTGATTGCTTCAAGCGGAGATCGAAACTTGACCGATTTGGCATCAGCCAGAGATTCTACCCCTAAGCACGGCAGAGAAAGGAAATCTTTGGAAATGTTACTCCCATCCATTAAAAACAAATATCTTAATAGAAATAAAACGTGTATTGACTTTAACAATGCAGATAATTTCTTTGGAAGGAAATATTCATTACTATTGGTTGAAATGTATAAAAAAAATATTTCACTTAAAATAAATCTCCAGGAAAACAAGTTTATCCCGTTCACTTTGGTTTTTCTTTTCTAACCTTTTGTTTGACGTAGTGTGAAACCTGAACACATCATTATTATTATTATTATTATTATTTTCTCTTCAAGTTGAAACTTATTGAAATTTAACTCGATAAGATAGATTTTAGAATGCTGAAACATTACAACTTAATAATTTGAGTTTTAACCAATATGTAAATTTGATTTTTATATGTAAATTACAAGCTGGCGAAATTTTGCTTTGTTCGTTTCTTCTTAATTGGAAGCTCGACTTTAATAATAGGAACCAAATGTATGTATACGTAAGTGTAAAACTTCGTGACACCTCACGGTGTAATTTGTCAATTTATATAATGGAGGATTTTTAACGATTATTTCATATGCATCCGTAACAAAAAGGCGACGTCTTATGGCCATATCACGTTTAAAAGCTACACAACTTTGCGCATTATTTACATTAGTCGGACTATTGTCCTCATCTTTGTCGCCATATTTGTCACAACGTTTCGGCCGTTGTACGCTCCGGCCTTCTTCAAGTAGTTGGAATTTCGAACTGAACCCTTTATTTCGATCCCTGGAGTAGACTGTTCTAGTTCCATATGTCATGTTTGATGGATGTCAGTTATCAGTTATCTCCTGCTAATTTTCCATCTGAAAGTTCTCCACTGGCTTATCCAGGTATTGAACTCACCTTCTTTGGGTCTGTCACTGGATCTAACCAACGCCTTTATCCACT